TTTTTTTCTTTTTTTTTTGTGTGTACCATGCCCTATTATTTTTTAATTAAAGAAAATTGTTCTCCTTGGCTCTTTAATTTTTGGTAATTAAGCCCATTCTGTATTATATTATATTATATTATATTATATTATATTATATTATCAGTTCATCGCAGTACTACTGGGCCTCATATATTTACGGCAACCAGATAAGAATGAAGGGTATTATGACCAGTCTGCAGTTCAAAACATCAATGGTCTGATGTTCTTGTTGTTAACAAATAATTCATTTGCTAACATGTTCCCTGTTATCAATGTAAGTTTCAACTTTTTTGTGCTGTTTCATCTTTTGTCAGTCATTTCTTTTCTTAATAAAAAAACTAAAAAGTAAAGGACATTTATTGATATGAGTTTATATAAATTTAATATTTATTATTATTATTCCGATTTTATTACTTAATGATACTTTTAAAATTTTTTTCAAAGCCCAAGGAGACATTGTGAGCATACAAAAATATTAAATTTTTTATTTTAGATATTTTACATTAATGAATAATTGTTATTGATAACACTTATCAATATCTGATAGTATTGATAATTTTGATTCTTCACAACAATATTTATCGATTACTTACTTACTAATGTTTTTTTTTTCAGACTTTTCCTCTAGAAATTCCAGTGTTCAAAAGAGACCACAACAATGGCATGTACAGGACAGATGTGTATTTTCTATGCAAGACTTTTGCTGAGGTAGTGGAGAGATTTTACTACAGCCACATTGGCTCAACAAATTTTTTTCTAATTTCTCATTTAATTGTAATCTCGCTGTTTTGCCAAAGCAAGCAAGCATTCATTTCTTTTCTAATTAATGCCCAGATAGATTAATTTCTTCTTTTCACTTTTTTAATCCTTATATATTTTGAAACTGTGTTCTCAAATACCCCCAGTACTTGTTTTTATGTAATGCCTACTTGACATTTAAAATGGATTTTAAACTTAAAATATTCTTATTACATGATTTTACAGTAAAGTTAAAAGCAACTTAAATTACTACCTTTCAAACAATTAACTACTAAAATAATTTTTGTCATAAAAAAAACACAATTTTTGTACAATTTTTGCAAATTTTGTTATAGTTTCCAAGCTATGTGATCACACCGTTGATATTCTCCGCCATAGCCTACTGGATGGTAGGTCTTTATCCTGGGGGAGAGGAGTTTTTATTCAACATGGCTGTGCTTATCCTGGTGGCAAACTGTGCAGTGTCCTTCGGTAAGAATTTGACAATTTGTCTATGTTTCATTTCCTCTATATTAAATTTATGCCATTGGTTTGGTGGGGGGGGGGGGGCATGAAAAATGGATGTCATTTTATGTCACTGTGAGATACTATGTTTAAAATGAGTCCATTATTACAAAACCTTTTAAAAATAATAGAAGTATGAATAATAATAATAATAATAATAATAACCATAGAAAAGCTGAGCATGGCAACAAATTGTGTGAACATGTTACTGTTTTGTGGATAAATGACCCTAGGTACTAAACATATGTTAATATTTTATTTATTTTTTATATCCATTCATTTTCTTTCTAGGTTACATTATCTCAACAGCTGCTAACTCGCTGACTGTGGCCTTGGCATTAGCTCCACCTCTGCTCATTCCCTTCATGCTGTTTGGTGGGTTCTTCTTGAATCAGGAGTAAGTACTGGCATCTTTGGGGTAAAAACACAGCCAGAATTTATTTCCAAAAATTTTTAAAAAATGTATATTAAGTTTTTGATATACTTAAAAGACTTAAAGAGACTTTTTATAGACATTTTAATTCGTTCAATTTTGATCATGGGGAATTAAAAGAAAATATTTAAAAGACTATTAGAAAAGTAAATTAATATTCTCTTCATTTTTCTCTTCACCGAATTGCAGTAGTGTACCCGTGTACTTTATCTGGCTGAACTACATGTCCTGGTTCCCGTACTCCAATGAGGTCATCACAGTTGTTCAGTGGAGAAATGTGGACACCATTCGTAAGTTATAATATTTTATTATGGCTGGCACTTCAAATAATAGGATAATTGCACTTGTATTTCATATACAGGCTTAAAATTTATTGCCTGTGTTTTCATACATTTCAGTGCGATATCTTATTGTTCAAAGCCCCAGCAGCCAACTACTTGTCGTCCACTGTGCCTTATTATAATTATATGCTCTTGTATATTCTGTACAGTGGACAGTTGGTGTTGCAACTAGTTGACATTACCTAAGGCTTACAATTAAGTACTGTTTTTCAGACGTGGAATGATCAAGATCTGTAGATGTTGGATTAAATTGTTGTTTGATTCTTGTTATTTTGATACATAAGTTGAAAATGCATGTAACTTTTTATCATGTTTTCTTAGAGACCATGAACATTGTTTTCATATAGAACAGAGACATATTATATAGAATCATTTCATTGAGCTGTGAGCTTATTAAGAATTAAGTTGTACACGCTTGGTATGGTGAACAAATTAGAATATATTTCTAACTTTTTAACTTTAGGGTGTCATAATGGTACAAGCTGTGCATTTAGAACAGGGCAAGACATTATAGACTACTACAGCTTCAAGGAGGTAATTAAGTGGACAAGGAGAGAGAGAGGATGAGAAAAAAGATGAATGGAGAAAAAATTCCACTCTGATGATATAAAAATATATAAGTAATGGACCATTACAGCTTCAGTGCAGAGAGAGAGAGAGAGAGAGAGAGAGAGAGAGAGAGTTTTGTCTAAAATTATGTAGAAAATTTAGCTCTATAGCTCTTCAAAAACATTACCCAGGAGTTAAGTAATCATTGAACCCATTACAGTTTAATCTCCCTTTTTAAATTTAAAAATGGTCATTTTACTTTTTTATATTACAGGAGAACATTTTAAGGAATATTCTTCTCCTGGTGGCTCTGCTTGTTGGCTACAGACTCATAGCTTACATTATATTTCTCATCAAGACATGGAAAAGGGAGTAGATTGTGTTAGTTGTGACAAGAAGAAAGCATTGTGTTAATTGCAGTTATTGAAATAATTATAAGGGACTTTTCACATTTTAGCATTGTGGTCTGTATTGGGACACTTTGAGAGGGAGACAAGGAAAACCTTGTCCTGAGATACGGACTCATTGATAAAGAGTCAAAGCTTCATTACTCATAGGAAAAAAAATCTTAAGACACAATTCAGGAGCAGATGAAGGCCATGCTTCTTCTGGGTCTTATGGAAAATGGTTAGAATTTTTCATGTTTACATTGACGGGCATCTAATTTTTTCTCTCGCAAGATGCTCGAAAATGGAGGATGGATCAACAAAGATGATTTGGAGGACTGTCAGAAAATATCTCTGGATCTGCCACTGCATAAATTCAAAAATAAATAAATAAATTCAAAAGTCAGTAAAGTATCAAAACACTTTTGATTAATATGCCCTTGTGCAAAGTGGGGTAAACAAAAAACAAGGAGGAAAAAGGTTTCTTAATTTTACAAGCAATTGTAGATCTAAGAGGGATTTCGGGGTGTGTCCATTACAAAAGTCATGGCTGCAGCTGCAGAAAATACAAAAACGTATTACCAGAGCTTAATAAGCATATATTAAAATCATTGGACCATATTTTTGGTGATATTCACGAAATCACTATTCTGCTTATACACATTTTTGAATATTTTTTTTCTGTTTTCTGAAACTGGCTTGTTCATTTATTCCGTTGCTTCTTCATGTAGTACTGTCCTACATTGTGCAACTACTGCTGATTGATAGAAATTACATACTGTAAGATAACTTTCTATAAACTGAGAAAACAGAAAAGCCTGAGGGGAGGGACTGCCCCTATACAGCTGGGCAGAAATTAAGCTTTTTATAATGGTTATAATTACGAATATACTAGTACATGGTATGCCTGTATGAGGTACTGGTATTATAGTAATCTATAAGAAAGTGACTTAATTACATTTTAATATCAAAGGAATTATTTTAGCTTTTTGCATGTGACACACAGTTTTAAAGAAGTTAATATATTTGAAAAATATCAATTATTTTTATTGTGGTTCTTAAGAATTTAATATATCGATCCATATACCTGTAATATAAATTTGTATGTATAAATAAAAATTTTAAAATGGCTGTACATGTTTTACTTCAGTGTACCGGGGTACCATAAATTGCATTCTCTGAATCATTTTCAAATTGACAGTTAAAATACCAGCTAGTGCGTAATTGTTCTTAATTTGTGATGTAATAATATTATTTGAAATTGAGATAAAAATCATAAACCATATATGCAATTATTGATTTATTTTTATATACTGGGTTTACCTTCATGCATTAGCTGAATAGAAAGTACAGTACTGTATATCATTTATTTTTAAATTATAATTTTTACAAAAATATCACTTATTCACTTCATTTATTCATTCAATTAATCATAACTTTATTTATTTCAGTGTTTTGTTAAAGATACTCGATCTACCTGTAATTATAAAATTAACTACTGTATATATAATTAGTATATATAATTACCAGTAATTGTTACCAGTAACTAATTATTAGTCACTGCCGTTCTTCTAAATTTTTTTTTCTAAACTTAACACCATTTTATAATTTTATAAATAATTAAGCAACTTTCCCTTTTTGATGTAGATTATCACGATCCATTTTATCATTTCGCAAACCCCAAAGTGGTGTTGTACTAGTACAGGTAGCTTGCACGTTTATACAAAACTGCCAGTTTGTTTTTGTGTTCAGGTCCAATAATTAGGTTATAAATAGTAAGTGAAATGAAAAACCGAGAACAAAATTTGGGTTTTAATACACTTTGTCTTAATTACAAACGGTTTAAATAAAATCAGATCCAAGTTTCTTATTACTGTATTTCATTTCTATGTTTGATTATTGCTAACCTTGCTTATTATTTTTATATTGTAACTAAGCTTCCCTTTCGGGTCCCATTATGTTCTGCGAGATTAAGCGTATTATTACGAGAGCCGCTGCATTGTGGGATATGTGCCGGTTGTTTTGAAAGTGCTTTCCTTGATCGAAACTTATTCAGGTATCCGCTGACGAGAGTTACAGCGGGTTTGATTTAGTTTTGCAACACGGATTGACATGGAGAACAAACAGGAAAATATGAGAAAGAAGCAATCTCGTCAAGTCGTCCCTGGGAGAGCTAGGAGATCTTTGGAGACTGTTGTCTCGAAGCAGAGCCCAGCGAAAGCCAAGAACGTCTTGCCCAGTCGTGCCGTTGGTGCGCTTGCTGAGAAAAATATCACCCAGCGTTCTCCGCTTAAGCAGATGCAGAATTTGCAAGCAGACAAGAAAGCAGAAAGGTATAGTATGTGCTGTGTTACATGTACGCAGTATGAAAACATTTTTATTAGATTTTTATTAAATTGTCTTAAACTGAGAGAAACAAGAAAAAACGGAGCAACTACTACATATAGTATCTTAAATATGACCAATTCATGGCAGCCACTCAACTTTTGTCCAAGTTTTTCATTTTCGTCATAGATTTATTTCATATAGTTAACCCTCATTGATATAAGGTTTACTGTTAATTAAAATTTTTGTAATATTTAGTAACAGTTCAAACTTGTTTGTTGCTGATTGAGAAATTTTTATGAGTAATTATATTTATGACAAAATGCAATTTTTACCATGATGCAATATATTACTATAACAGAAGGAGCTTTGTACTGACACTTTTGACTTTCATCTAGAAAAGAATTAGATCCACCCCTGCAGTTCTGTGATGGAGACCAATGTGACGAAGAAGAAGAGGTTTTCTTTGGGGACATGTCACTGAAGGAAAAGAGCAAGGTAGATAAACTGTCTCACAAAAGACGAACCATGGTGTACATACCAGGATTCAGGAGACACCTCAAGATGGAAAACCCAGGAGACGAAGCCAAAAACGATGGGGGAGGGGTTGGTAAAAGCAATTCTAAGGAGGATGAGTTTCCAGGCCCCGATGATGACGAAAACATTGGCATTCACAGTCGCTGCAGTGTTGCCAGTCGTACCTCAAACAGCAGCCTGTTTGACCATGCTAGAATCATGAACAGTGCTAGTAGTCTGGATTTACCAGGATCTAGACCGGAGAGTGCTTTAAGCTCAGTGGATAGACTGAGTTGTGCTAGTAACTGTGGTACTAGCAGTAAGGACAATTGTGTTAGAGAAGATTGTGACCAGCATCAGACACAGAGACCCAGCAGTATCAGTGTCACATCAGATTGTGCCAGTGAAGCCACAGACGATTGTGAACTGGACCAGGGTCATCTCTATTCCAGGCCAACCAGTAGTTTGTTCTCCTCTGGAGAAATTCCTTCAAATTCCATGGTGTCATCAGCTAGACCTAGTGTTGCCAGTGTAGCTTCTTCTAACGACCCACTCAACGAGGCCCAAATATACACAGACAGCCAATTATCTGGTTGTTCTGATTCCTTCCCAAAGCTTTCTTTAGATGGTGCTGCGGAGAGTGATTTTAGAGAACCCATAAGAGAACCAGATGTCATGAATAATTCTAGTCCCACCACAATTAGAGAGGATACAATAGAGGTGTCAGGGGTGGCAAAGATGGAGTCCACATCTTTAGAAAGTGATTTAAAAAGTGATAAGTTGATCTCAGAGGATTTAAAACGCATGAAGAGTTGTGATGAAAATAAAAAGAATAAAAATAACGAACAAGAAAAATGNTTAGAGAGGATACAATAGAGGTGTCAGGGGTGGCAAAGATGGAGTCCACATCTTTAGAAAGTGATTTAAAAAGTGATAAGTTGATCTCAGAGGATTTAAAACGCATGAAGAGTTGTGATGAAAATAAAAAGAATAAAAATAACGAACAAGAAAAATGTCTGAAAGGCACCATCAATGAAAATGGAACTCCTTCGAAAAAATTCCATTCTATGTTGGAGCAGGAGGTTATTCAAGACACCCTGCAACATGATGGTGTATTTGCCAGTGAAAATAGTGAGAAAATGGGAGATGATATCCCAGGAAAAGAGCACCTAGATCCTCATGTATGGAAACCGCTGATGTCCGACTTACTCCACAGTTTTCCCAGTCTTCAGGTTTCCACGCCAACCAAGGTGTTGTTCTCGGCAGACGGGAGTGCGTTCACGCCAGTGGGCACTCCAACTACCTCCAGAGTGCTGAGACCAGCAGTCAAGTCACCACTGACCACACATGGGAAATACTTCCCTGCTGTCACTGGTAAATATGTACTGTAACTTTATTTAGTGGTCACATGAAAATATGTGAATTATTAATTATTAGTATTGTTGATTGTATTTATTTTCATTTCATAAGCTGTTTTTACCAATTTCATAATGTCTACTTTAATTGATAGAATTAACCTTTTGCTATGACTATTTTTTGACAGTAGCCTTTTAATTTATAATTTTTTTTAATATAGAGAATGTGAGAAATAATATCCATTAATAATTCTTTCAGTCTACTGGATGCAGAAAAAAACGTATATATGCCTCTTAAGCCCAGTAACATGTTTTGTTTTACTTCCCAGACTTTAGCAGTTCACCTTTCACAGCAGTGCAGCCAGCACAGCCGGGTTACTTCACCACTCTGTCACCATACAAGACACAGGACGTCACCACTGTCTTCAACCCCCACCAGGGGGCTCCGTCACCAAGATACTCCAGTCAGACATCAGCCCAGTATGTATCTGCTCCAACCAACACAGTGACCAGTGGTGTGGTCAAGCGGTGTGGTCTGACTGTGGATGAAGTGACACAGACCCCACCTTCCATGTTGAATAGAGTTTCTGACACTAGCTCAAGGAACAGTCATTATAAAGCCTCTGCTAGAAATGAGAAATCTGATGGATTGACAAATGCAGGATGTGGGTCAATAGACACTGACTGTCATTGTCATTGTCGTGAGCAATGTCAGTGTAGGACAGGTGGGAGAATGAGCTTTGACAGTCTCAACAGTGACGGGCAAGAGTCACAACATAACAGCACAGATAGTTTGGAGAGTGGCCACCAAGGGGAGACACATACCACATCTGCCCAAGACAGCAGCAACACTAGGTGTGGACTTGACCTTCACCAAAAGGGGGAGCCACAAGATTGTTTAAGCCAAGTCGGTGAGGAACTGAGGGACAGCCTGGAAAATCACCAAGAAAGAAATCTAAGCATTGACAGTCTCGATGGTAGAAAAGATCAGAATGATCAGATACAAAAGTCAGACAGTTCGCAGAGTAGCTTTGAGATGGACAGTCTGGTGTCTCAGACCTCGTCCCAGGCATCTAGTGAAGTGACTGCTGACAGGGCAGCACTGGACAGTGGACTGTTCAGCAGTGGAAGCTGCAGCAGCGTGGAGGAGAATGTAATGGTAGGAAAAGATGATAAATTACAGACGGAAACTTTGAGTCCATCTTTGAACCAGGCGTGCCAAGTTGGTAAGTTTTTAGTGCTTTAGGTGGAAAAAAATCTTCGTTTTGGACATTTAGATTATCAATAGTAATTATAATTAATTTGTTATTTTTTGTTACATCTGCCAAGGAGATCATGTTTTTGTGCAGAAAAGTTGTTGATTTGTTAGTTAACAGCCTAACTCAAAAAGTTTTTAGGAAAGACCAGGAATGGGCATACAGTAAAAATGGTTACTGTTTAGAGGCAAGTGATTTGTAACTTGATAATGAGAATTGAACTGCCATCATAGAGGTCTGCCTTCACTGAGTGCTCTATTTAGTATTATTATTATTATTATTATTATTATTATTATTATTATTATTCAGCCTCTCCTATAGGGACCTTGCTGTCCCCCCAGAGTGGGCGGTTGTGGGGGACCACTCTAGAAGAGAAGAAGGCCAAGCTGCAGCAGCTCAGGGAAGAGAAGGAGAGACTAGAGAAGAGGCTTGCACAAGGGGAACAGAAGAAAGTGTACCCCAAGGTATGGAGAGAGAGAGAGAGAGAATATGACCTAAAACATTCTATCTAGGTACAAATAGATAGAGAGATAGAGCGTATGGTATGTGGTAGTCTATTTAGGTTTAGAGAGAGAGATTGGAAGTATGGCATGCGTCATTCTATCTTGGGAGAAAAATGATGTTTGGAGAAAGAGGCCTGGGTTGAAAAGAGATGTATGGAGAAGGTGGTGAGGCTGAGGGGTGTAAGGAAAGAGTGAGAGAGCACAATTAGTAAAAGAGGTGTATTTTTTAAAGAAAGTGTATTATGTCCTAGCTTTATCAACTAGAGAAATCAAGTCAGCTGTTCAAGTTTCTGGTATTTTTCTTTTTCAGTCTCCCTTGCCTAAAGTCAAAGCCAACAGTACCCAGCACCAGACAACTGTCTTGCCAAGAGCTGCCTGTGTTGGGATGCCAGCCCTGGCATTGGTAAGTACCACAACTGACCACTAGGTGCCCCTGTTTGTGCCTATAAATTTCAGGCCCACTGGCCCTTCAGGAATCTTTCAAGAATGTAATGGCCCACATGACTTCTTTTAAAGTCTGCAGTATAGTTCATGTTTTTTTAATTAAAAGAGCAGGGTGATTTTATTTACCTGATTTTAATAAGGATGTGTTGTTCATAATGATGAAATGATTATATTATGTATAGTCAATTATGTCAAGTTCAAACATTTTAAATTTTATGTACTGTTTATAATAACTATAAATTAACATTTAAAATAATTTTAACACTTTGAAACGAATACCAATATGATTGTCTTCTTATATTTCTTCTTTCATTTATTCAATCGGATCATTATCTGTTACAATATGATTTGTGTATTATATTTTGCTCATTTAGACAGAGCGTGAGATTGATGCTGTGACCAAGCTGCACACACTGTGCAACAGCCAGCAGATCTCTCAAGTGGTGGGCAAGCAAAAGACCAAGACTGTGGTGAAACACTATCCTGGTACTGGCTGTGTTTGATGACTGATTGTACTGTGAATTGTGTTCTGCAGAAAAAAAAGTTCTTCCTTATACAATTTATTGATTTAAATTTTACAATTTTTTTTTCATGAAACTTAAATTAATTGCTATTTGTTTATTTGTGATTTTCTGATTAGAAAAAAAATAGGTATATTTAAAAGTCAAGTTTGGATAACAGGCCAGTCACAGATTTTGATGTGCTAAGATGGAACAACTGATTTTTTTCACTTCTGTCAATTTAAAACATTTTAATTTAGATTCTGATATTCTCATTTAACACTTGTATGCTTTTCAGCTCCATGATGGAGCGACATTATTTTTTACATATTAATTTATCAATACTCCTGTCTATGACACACCATGTTTTTCTTATTAGTCCGTGAGTCCAGCAGGGTCCAGTGGCTGGAGGACCTTGTGGTCAGTCCTGTCATTCACAGCCCCAGTTCTGCTGACCAGAAACAAGCCAGGCCCATTCTAACCCAGGTCAGTATTTCCTTATACACCTGCCTCTTTGATTTTATATGGTACCTCTGTCAATAAAGAGCAGTATATTTTCAGCAGCTTTCTTTATTTGTTTATTTATTTTGTGCATTTTTTTTTTATTGGGAAGATATGTCTAAAGTGCTTCATAAATTTAATAAAGTTTCAGGATAAGCAATTATTTATTTATTTATTTATTTATTTATTTATTTATTTATTTATTTATTTGTTTGTTTTCAGAAATCGTTTCAGAAGACAGTTGCCCCAGCCCAGCACAATGCCACAGATCATTCCTCGCCAATAGTGGTTTCTAGGCTGCGAAGGACTAACACTTTGGGAAAATCTGAAATATAAGATTTTTTTTAAGATGTCTTGTAGCACTGTTTATGCTAGTCTCTGTTTTTAACTACTGCACAGTCAAACTAGTGATTGATTTATATTTCTTCTTTTGACATTTTGCAAATGAACTATTTCTACCACAGTTTCTGTGAGATCACTAGACATGATTGGAAAAACAACAGGGTGGAGATCCGTTTGCGATTCACAATGATTCCTTTATCACAGCAAAAATTGAATAGGATTTAAAAAGAAAAAAATCTGAACAGGAAAGTGAAAGAAATGCAAGCTTTTCAAAGTGACCCAGAACTGTGTGCTTCTTGGGGTTATTTCAAAATGAAAATAAGGCTTTAAAAAGTTCAATGCCATTTGGGATTATTGGTAATTTGTTGTAATTTGGATTGGGCTTTACTGGCAAAGTGGCCTTCATAACATCTGGTTAGCAAGTAAAGTAATAACTCCATCTTTTCAATGATGGGAAGATTTTTGATTTTTCAGATACATTATTTTAGAATCCTTATACATTTTATTTAGAGCTTGTGGTGCCTTTATTGTATAGAATGGAACTGTTTGTTAGCTTGCTTTTCAATTTTGTTGCTTACTGTGTTCTAATGATAAGAACATTGCTTTAAATAATCTTTTTCTCCATTAGAAAGACCGGGTCAAAACCGCATTTTAATGGAAGGGAGGTGTATTATTAATATCATACTTGTTTATACACGTTTGATAGTGATTGTATGTGATTGTTTTTTAATTGTTATGAGTGTTTATTATAAATACTGTATATTATTATATACGTCGTAATTAAAGTGATAATAACTCTTCGTTTCGGTCAAAAAATGAATTTTCCTGGAGTAAACAACAATTTTCCCATACTTACCAATGGTTAATGAATCCATTTTCACATTCAAAGTTAGTCCCTGTTTTTTTTTTTTTTTTTTTTTTTTTTTAAAAAATTTGTTTTTTTTTTTTTTGTTAAAATCTCTTAAGAGATTATAACAGAGTATAGCCATCAATGGAGGTCATGTGGTCTAAAGACAAGCTCAGAAATCAGAATAATAACTATAACTGCCGTTTTTGTGGTAAAACAGAATATATTTTATTTCTATGAGTTATTCACAATGCTTTTATTGTGAAATATAGATCTCATACGAAGAGTTATTATCCTTTTAATGAAATTATCCCTGACAATTGTCACCTTTACAAAGCAATAGAAATCGTTTTTAAAGGACTACGGTTTCTAGCGGACTATTTAGGTATTTAAATAGACACGGAGAACTTTTTGGTTTATTCTGGGTACATTTCTGTTCTGTCCACTGTTATTTATTTATTTATTTATTTATTTATTTATTTATTACACGGAAAGGGCATCATCACTCAGTTGGGTCTCTGTTGGAGAATAAATGGATATTATGGACTAGTGTCAAATAGGTTCAAATAGTACCTACACTGCCTCCTTAGTTTCAACAATGGATAATTTACATCAATACCAGATGTGATTAGATGTATTGTACAGAGGGATGAGAGTTTTCACACTTTAATCGGATTTTCGACTTTTTTGGAGCCAAAAATATCATTGGCCTAGGCGGCCACCTGGACCTCATGTCATTTTTCCTGACCTTTTTCAATAAATGGCAGTCTCATCCCTATTTGTGTAGTTGTCCTGGAGTGAAGGGTTTTTTTAAATTTATTTTTCACAGTCGTGTTCACAGTAAACCAGGAATAAAGCGATTGTTTAAAAATCTAATAATTTCTTGTTATTTTTGTATTCGTATTGAAGAAATGCAAT